ATACATATATACATATATACACACACATATACATACACACACAATGTATATATACACTACATGTAATCTAGTTTATATCATACACAGGGAGGGTAATGAAAATGGCGACTGAAGAAATAAAATAAGAAAATAAAAATGGCGCCGGCAAAAGAGTGCGTTGATCTTTGTCAGACATCTTCCTCCAAGGACAGTAGAAAATATATATAGAGTCCCATCATGGCCGGTGCAGACCGGAATGATCTGGGACATGCGTCCCGGGATCTTGTGCAGTTGCGCACAATTGCAGGCAGCAATTGCCACGCGGCCCTATTGATTTCAACGTGGAACATCCGCGCAGCAATCGCAGAAAAAAGTAAACTTTCCTTTTTGGGTTGTTTTTTTTTGCAATACACGACGCTCAGCTGTTTCAGCTGCACGGGTGGAATGCCGCACGATCTGCCCGGTGCGACTAGTGTGCCATTAGAAAGTAATGGCACCCACAGCGCGATAGTCGGAGATGGGCGACTCCGTGACCGCAATCCGCGCAGTATCGTCCAGGTGTGCACCGGCCCTAAATCAGACTCTCAACCAGGGTGACAGCACACGGAGGTGCCTTGTGGCTTCCTCAGGGGTGCCTCAAAAGTTTCTGATGGGGAGACTCTTGATGTAAAAGGGGGGGAATTGTAAAATGAAGGGGGGCTCCTGACGAGGTTTTTAAAGTTGTCCTGGCAGGAATACCAGACCTCGCAAAAAAACAGGAACAGAGACTTGTGTCCTTGACATGATTACGATTTATTCCACATATGTACCTATTTGGGAGTATTTGTCCCCTTATCAGATACCCACACACAGAGGCTGCCAAAAACAGGAGATTCCTAAAAGGCCTGAAACCCGCAGACTGAGATTAATTATATATTTTGCAGAGGCTGCAAAAATAAAAACTTAATTTCTACAAAACTTGGGACTCATGTATAACAAAATGTAGTCTTTAGCTTAAAGGAGAATCCCCCCCCCCCTCATAGTTCTATTTTAACCAACTCTTCCACCTCATTATACAAAGGGGAGGCTTGCAATGCAAAGGGGAGGCTTGAGATGCGCAGCTGCTTCCTAATTTGAAGGGAGAATTTCGATGCAAAGGATGGAACCCCACTTTTTAATGTGCCCTTGCATGGGGGTACCCCCTTACATGTTACACTGGGATGCCATGAGATTTTGCATACTTTTTAAGAGTGCCGCGACTTAAAAAAAAAAAAAAA